TTTATGTAGGGTTCCAACCCTGATATTGCTTTTTATAAAAATGACTCCTCTTAACTGGGAAGAAACACAATATCCCATTGGTAATTAGGGAATTAGAATGCCGACTGGGTTCTAGCAAGTTTAAGTTAATAATGATTTTTTATTTGTTACATTTGTTTTTATATTTAACAATTATTTGCTGACTCCGTGGGATCGCAGCTTCTTGGTGGATCTTTTGGTAATATAAGAAAGATGGAATGCAGGTGTTATAAGAACTGCTGATAAGATGTTGGTGTGATAACATATTTGTTTGTCTATTTGCTAGCGAGTTATGATTTTGTTTTTGTCATTAAAATGAAAAAGCATAAGCCTTTAGGCAGGCCTGCCCTAACCCTAGGGTTAAACGGCATTAGAAAACAATGTTTTATAATTAGTCTTAGGTTATAAACAATTGGTCAAGTGGACACCCTAATCTGTATATGCAATTATTTTTTAATGATAAAGATAAAAGGTTGTTACAGGCTGTAACTTACAGATAAATGGTAATAAGCTAATAAGATTATTTATTAATTCTCATAGCAAATTTTTTTTTTTATTTTTTTTTAGATGTTTACGAAGCCTAAAATGATTTTTATTTTTTTACAGGACATAAAACTGTTATAAAAACTTAGTTTGATACTTTCATTACAAAATTTATATGGTCTGTACTTTCTTAAAATGAAATAGTCAAAATTCTACTATTTTAATTAGTACCAGCATTTTTTACTAATAAAATATTCGTTTTCACTTTTAAATAGTTATTTTTTACTACGTAAATAGTTTGACTAATTTAAGATTAGTCACCATCTTTGACTATTTCTGAGAGTTAAAAGTAACTAATTTCTTTAATCGTTTGCAGCCAACAACAAAGTATTATTTGAATTAACTACATATAGGCTCCATGGTTAAATTGGCAATTTAAAATTGCCGATAAAAACAAACAAAGCTCAAAACAGCAACACAAATAATATATTCAACTTTAAAATAGTATGAACAATATTTATTGACAAATAAAATTGATTTTTATAAGAGTGACATAGCCACATTGGTTATGACAACGCTTGACAAGCTTGACAAGTGACAGACCTGAGTTCAATCCCCGGCTGGGTCAAAACTTTTTTAAATTTAAATCTACTATTAGCTTAAGTTGCATATTTAAAGGTAAGTTTTTAATGGTCATTTTTTAAATATCAAGAATTTAAAAATAGTAGACCATGGATTTAACCTTTTATTCTAAGAATTTTAATTTTTTACGTTAAATTAGCCAGGTTTTTGGTTAAATTTGCCTAATTTAGGCCTAATAAAAAGAATTTAAAAATAGGAGGCTATGGATTTAAAATTAGATATAACATTTAATCCTAGCACCTTTTTTTATTTCATTTTGCTCTAAAATAAAGGATACTTCTTTCTTGGGCCAATTATACATTTTCCTATTTTATGACCACCCTGTATTTGCTATTTTAAGTTTTAGATAGTCTGATATTATTTTTGAGGAAGCAGAACTTTTTATAAAGAATTACTTTTTTTCGATAAATTAATAATAAAAAAGTTTCCCATGTGTAGAAAACTTAAGCGAATACACTATATATATATATATATATATATATATATATATATATATATATATATATATATATATATATATATATAGTTTTTTATATTTGTATTAATTAATTTAGTTATTTAATTATCTATTTATTTTCTATTTTCTATAGGTATTTCTATAGGTATTTGTATATTTATAGGTAGGTTGCCACAAGTATTACAATGCTTGTCTGGATGTGCGCGCAAAGCAAATCCACCAGTTAATATAGAATATAAGTTAAGCTGCCTTAAATCTGACAACAACGCCTTCAATAATATTTTCACGAAAGGGGGCGCCACATTACTATGTGATGTGTAAGTGCCACAACTATTAGAAATTAAACGTACTTATATATCCCAAATTGTGGCAACATATACATATTTATATATTTATTTGAATAATTTAAATTATTTTGCACAAACGTCAACAGAAGATAGGCTAATCCGACGTATATCAAAACCAAATGACCTGGCAAAATATTACTTTAATTTATGACCGGAGGAAGCCAGAATTGAGGAAATAAATTGTGGCACCTCGTGTATGGTGTCACAATTTTGGATGTAGCCATAATTCAGCGTTATGCAGACGCAAGGTGCCACAATACAGAAACCTACACAACTGTTCTGACAACGTCTCGTGGACTACAATCGGATTCGCATAAGTGGTTCTCTGCTAATCGTCTATGTTTAAATGTTGCCAAGACGCAGAATTTTATCACTAATATAAACAACCAAGAATCTATTAAATTTCTGGGTCTATATATGGATCCTTCTTTAAATTGGAATAGCCATATACACGATTTATCCAAAAAGCTGTCTAGTCATTTGTACTGGTTGAGACATAAATTTATGAAATAATTTGTCTTCTTTTGTGCTTAAAACGGTATATTTTGCTCACTTTCACTCAATTTTGTCAAGTCGGTATTTAGGTTACAAAGAAAAGCGATAAGGTTGATAGCTGGAATTGGGTACCGTGAAGATGCAAACCATATTTTATTTCACTTAATATTATGACATTCCCTTATCTATATATCTACTGAAGTGTTATTTATATCAAAAAAATATTCTTGATTACACTTCTAGCAGTGAAACTCATGAGTATTCAACTAGAAATTCAGCAAATCTATAGATATATGCGTATACGCACAAATTTTTGCAGGCTAAAAAGGTGTCAAACTGACAACAAATATTTTGGTGTACATTTTTTTAACGTACTACCTTCAGCGGCGTAACTAGAAAAAGTGCCGCCCGGGGCAGCAGTGGCTGTCTCCCTCATGTTTTTTTTTGGGGGGGGAAGAGAGGTTAGGTTGGGAGTCAGTTTTGAGGACCCACGGAAAAAAATAATCGGTAGAGGCTACCTATTGGCAATCGGTAACAGCTACCGATTGCCAATCGGTAGACTCTACCGAAAAAATAGGTAGACTCTACCGAAAAAATCGGTAGTCTCTACCGAAAAAAAATCGGTTCCCTCAACCGATTTTTATCGGTAGTAGCTACCGATTATTTTTCGGTAGAGTCTACCGATTTTTTCGGTAGCCGTAACCGAGAAAATCCGCATCGATGCGCTGTTAGAAAATTAAAAAAATATATTAATACTTAAAAATATTAACATTTAAAAATAATATTAAACATTATTCAAGTTAATAAAAATTACTCTTTTCAGTCAAACATTTTGAGATGGTATTCATTGTAATTATTAAAAAATGCTATTCAAAGAAATGGTTTTTTTTTATCATCTAATTAGAAAAAAGTTTATTTATCCAATTATAAATACATACAGTTTTGTCAATTATTTTATATGTAAATATAATTTTAATTTACATATATTTCTAGGTATGTACATATTGGTGATTTTAGTACTGAAAAAAAAAGAAAACTTTCTCGAAATTAATGAAATAGTCAGTGTAAATAATTGTATATATTTTCTCATGTTCTCGATTAAAACATTGTATTTTGATCAACACTATGATGCTTATTGCGTTGAAATTGATTATAAATCAAGTATGACAAAGAATAAGAGCAAATTACCAAATTTAGAACCTTCTTTATTAATACAAAAAAAAATATCTACTTTGTAGCCACCAGACATTTAATTTAATATTTATTTAGAATTGTAAAAAATTTAATAAAAATTACTCCTCATTTTTAATATTTTTGTATTTCAAATTTATTTATACCTCAAAAAAAAATACTATTTTCTATTTAATAAAAAGCGAGTATTTAACTTCTCGATAAAAAAATACAAAAATTTTCAAAAATTGGTAATCGAATTTTTCGGTAGCCTGCACCGAAACAATCGGTAGACTCTACCGAAAATAATCGGTAGCTGCTACCGATAAAAATCGGTTGAGGGAACCGATTTTTTTTCGGTAGAGACTACCGATTTTATCGGTAGAGTCTACCGATTTTTTCGGTAGAGTCTACCGATTGGCAATCGGTAGCTGCTACCGATTGCCAATCGGTAGCCTCTACCGATTATTTTTTTCCGTGCCGTACGCAAAATTAAAAATATATAATTATATATAACATATATATATATACAATATATATGTATATATACATCTCAAATCTATTGGAATTTGAATTATATTATTTCGAAAGAGAATATTTAATTATCAAATATTTTTTTTATTTTTATATTCTGTCTTCCAGTTTTTTTTCGCATTTTCTCTCACGATTTTTGCCGCCCCAAGAAGTGCCGCCCGGGGCGGACCGCCCCCTCCGCCCCCCCCCTAGTTACGCTACTGACTACCTTATAAAATAAGAGGCATGGAAATTAACTCATTTAAAATACTATTTAAGATTTTTTTAATAAAAAAAGCATTCTATTCATTTCAAGAATATCTCCTCTGTGATAACTTTGATTTGATCAATTGATACAAATGTTTTATACTCTTTTAATTTAATTGTATTTACCTAATTCTTTTTACAAATGTTCTTGTTCTCTTTTACCTATTTAATTGTATTTACTGACGTATGTATATACTACTTTGTATTTTAACACTAATAAACATTTCTATTTTATTCTATTCTATTCTTAAGCATTTGTAGACATGTGTCCATTTGATTTGTATTACAGTTTTGTTCCAGACATCATTTATGTCACATCACGTGCGTGAAATGTGTTTTATTTCTTAAAGATTAACAATGAATTTTGGCTTAAACTTTTTAGCTTTGCAGATGTTTTCTCAAGGCTTAGCTTTAGACCAACAATATTAATATGTAGAATTTTTTTTAAATATTGTGTAACCTTTTTAGAAGAATTAAATTTAAAAATTTCTTTTTTTTGCAAAAATACAATTTTCAAATGATTTATAGAAAATCAAAAATTATGATTTTATACTTTAGGTTTAATGTAAAGATATTAGATATTATATATTATATAGGTATATACATACATGTCCTAATTTAAACTTATCGATAGGTGGAGGTTTTACATCGTGATATACAAAAGATCCGCGCACCGAGTGGTATGGACCACTATATACGTTGCCGCTGTAAGAACTTTCACTGTATGCTGGCTTAGAAAGTTGAAACGTGGCATAAGGACATATATCTTCTATATAGTCAGCCGATTCCGCCTTATATGTATCGTTGTCTGTTGTAAGCGGGTGAGGTTCTCTTCCCATTCTTACTGCCAAGTATTGCTGATCCCTATTTTGTTTGTTTTGGATTTGAGCCATTGAAGGGGACTCTCCAAGAGAATGGTTTTGACTGTCACGTTCACATCCTATCTCTATATAAAACAAAAAAATATTAGAAAATGTTGCAAGATATGTTGTATTTTCTTACTTTTTATCCAAAAACCAGTTGCTATTAGGGCTATTAGTACTAAAATTAATAAAACTATTGGGATCAAAACCCTGGCATTGGTATAAAACACATTTTCTTCAGAGTTGGATACCGGTGGATTTATTTCTGGAACAACTAATTTAAAAAGCAGTTAAAACATTTTATTTTTAAAATATTAGTAGGTACAGTTATGACACAAATAATGGTTTTTCGCTAAAAATTATAAAAGTCACGCACCACCTTAAAAGTGACCCCAGTAACTTCAAAAAACTGAAAAAAAAATCACCTTTATAATTTAAAAGATTTTAAAGCGTAAACATTATGTTTTTAAACTTAAAAATATTATGTTTACCTTGTTTATGTTGTTTTAAGTTTTATTATATAGATTAGTCCTAATGTACAGGGTGTCCAGCTTAAAGTATTATTCTTATTTTCAGAATATTTTTGTCGGTCGAAAACTTTTCTTGAATAATTTTTCCTGATTTTTTTAATACGATATTAGATATTCCTTATCTTAACAATACAGGTATGTTAAAAAAAGTATATCTTTTTCAATGGAATGCCCTTTTTTTCAACAGATTGTTTCTATAAATTGTTTCAAAAATAAAAATTATATTAGACCTAATAAGCGTAAAAACACCTAGAGAATAATTAAACAATAGGCAAGCCATGATTTGCCACTTCGGCATACACATTTTTATAAGATTGATAGAAAAACATTACAACTTTTTCAGGAATAATTTATTTTTTAAATTTGTCAGAAGAAATTTTTCAGCATGCAAATAAACTTGGGTTGCCCTGGTAGCATGAAAATTATGGCTTGCTTATTGTTTAATTCCTCTTTACTATAGTGAGCTTAGTTTTTTTGCTCTTTTTATGTCTCTTATAATTGTTCTTTGGGTATTATATATTTTTAAATTTAGACAATCTATCGAACTGTAAAAAATATATAGGTACTGCATTCCATTTAAAAAAAAATTCTAAAAAGACCAGTTTTTTAGAAAAGTTTTGACCGACAAAAATATACTGAGAATCGAAAATATCATCGATGATAATCATACCACTTGTTATATTATGGGTGACAATATTTTTTATCACCTTATTTACACGTTCCTAAGGATTTTGACACTTTTCTTGATTTGACATTTGTTGACATTTAAATACTGTGTTTGTTAAATGATTAAAATAATAAATTATAAACTCTAAAAGATCGATGGGTTGGTGTAAACGATAATAAAATTAAGGTAAGTTTGAATAAATAAGGTTTATAGTCTTTTTATATTTTAAAGCACATTTTAATTTCAAATGTCAAACTGACAATTCGTTAAATCCTAAAATTCATTATATTTTCCCACTAAATATAACTCGTGGTATGATTAATTATCGATGATATTTACTCATTGAAACCGAAGCAGAATTCGAAAATATCATCGATGATAATCATACCACTTGTTATATTATGGGTGAAAATAATATAATCCGTTAAAATATAATATAATATTTCGAATAATACTTGAGAGTGGTATAATTGTCAAGAATATTTCTTAAACTTGTTGTCGTTAGGCAATAGCCCCTCGACCTCACGGACTCTCGTGGCTATTGCCAGAAAACAAATTTTAATAGGTATCTGTCGAATTATTTTCAATTTTGTTTCACTCCCTTGTGATATTAATGTTGAAAATATATATTTTTATGGACAAATCATTAGGTTCAAATAGCACAAGCATAAGCCTATAAACTATGAATAATAATAATAATAAAAAAATAAATAATTAACAAGACATTTTTGTCTGTTTTTGTAAGAAGCGCCTCAATTAATTATTACAACAATTAATTGGTAAATTGATTATTATCCGTGGACATCACATCATATACAATGATTAATAGTTAAAATATAAAATTATAGCATAGCATATTGACATGTATATTCTGTAACAAGTTTGGAATACAGCATATTCCGCTCGAGTAAAAAGTTTGTCACGCGAGTCAAAGGCGGGTTGACGGTTTCACGAGATCGGAATATGCAATTCAAATTGTGTTTCATACTATACTTTTTCTACGTTTTCAAAAAATAATTTATTTGGTAGAAGTTTAGGTTGGATTGGTCTAAAAGTTGTTAGATAATAAACAAGGAGATGTCGCCAGTGATTATTCCGTCATTCTGTGATTCCACATTTAAAAGTGATATTAAAATGGTCATATTCCGTAATAGGAGTAAAAAAAAATTAATTCCATGAAGAATTCCTTTAAAGTGTATTGTGCATATATTATGTTTGTATAATGCTTATAAAATGCAAGTTATTTACCCTGTATGTGTGTGTCAATGTAATGTTATTGTTTGGTTAGTTTTTTTCATAGATTTAATCTATGACAGGGACTCGCAGTCAGGCCCGTTCCTGGGGTGTCTGGCGCATACGTTCAGCATTCTTTCGTGCGCCCTTTTATATTTAAATATAACATTAAATATTTTAATTTTTATCCCTAAAATTTAACAATAGCTATTTACATACCATAGGAGGAAAATAATGCTTTTCCTCCCGTGAATAGTTTGATGCCCGACGCGAAGCGAAGGGCATTAAATATTCAAGGGAGGAAACGCATTTTCCTCCTGAGGTATGTATATGGTTTTTTCTATTACCTTTTAACGGTTCTAAAGACAATTTAAGGGTTCGGGTTATTTTTACTAACCCGGTATGGGGCTATAATATTATGACAAAATATTAAGTAGGTTTTGCGTCGCCGACGTTGTGTTGACAACGCTTTGTTGCTATGGTATTTTTGTAAAACAAACATAACAGTTGTTATAAGCTGTCAGGTTATCATAAATTTGAAATTCTTTCTACGTTTTAAAAATGAGTTCTAGCGAAGAAGACCTGCCGCAAGATCTTGCTGAAGAGGCAAGAGTAGTTGAAATTAATCTTCTTCCTCAAAAATCGAAAAAGCGATATAAAAAGGAATGTAGTCTTGTATTTTTTTTGTAACTTTGACACTGCTAAAACATTCGTCATAATATAATAAGCAAAAAACTAAACTAAACTAAACAAAGAATGGTTGAACAAGCGCGGAGTAAATCTTTTTCGTACAAAATCAAATAAGGCTAGACAAGGTACAAAACTCTTGCTAATGTAAAATTGTTAAAAAAAATAGAGGGAGGAAATATTTTTTCCTCCCGGGGAGGAAAAGAGGCATTTTCCTCCCTCGCTCGGGGGTGGAAAATTAAGTTTTCCATTAAGGTAGTAGAAAAATATATTTTTATATATATATATGTAATTGAAAACGTACAAAAATGCTGAACTAAGTATAAAAAATATTTATTAAATTACCAAAGGGTATTTCCGCGAAACCTTTCCCCACCTTGACAAAAAATCAGATGTGTTATTTAACAAAATAAAAATAATATCTGAAGTCAAATAGTTTAATTGCGACGTAACTTTAAAATATTCGTACATTGTAATGCTAAGAAGCTAGCATTAAGTATAAATACGGAAGAGTTTCAATACTCGATACAAAGTTTAAATGTCGCACCCGTTACATTTTGAGAAAATTATACAATATTTGTGCATTTAAAATACGTGCTTTTTTGAGGTTACTATTCAAGTTTTACACAAAAAAATTTTACTATATGCTTTTATCCGAAATTTTACATTATCAACTTTAGAAGCCAACTTGCTCGCATTTGCCGATTTTCTAAGGTCGCGCCCGATACGCAATTCATGACGTTATAAAAGGTTTTCTATACAAGTATTTATTGACATTTTTTATATTAGTTTTGTATATTAACGTATCTTGATATATATAGACCAACATTTTATTATCATGAAAAAACGCAGTGTCAGTGTCGCACCCGTTACAATTGAAATACTCCAAAACAAACAAAATCACAAAAAATATTTAATAGTAATAAAAATACCCTAAAGAAAACAAAAAAAAAACCTATAGAAATAATATTTTTAGTGTTTGTTTGATAATTGCAGTTGACAATAGCAAAGTTTAACAGTAGTATACACAGTGTACACAATATACACTTTGTAACGAGCTACGTTACTAAAAACCAGTTTTAGTTATTATTTTGTTTAAATCTATATAAAGAATATAATAACTACAACTGGTTTTTAGTGACCTAACCTCGTTACAAAGTGTATACTGTGTACACTGTGTATATGTTACCGGCAATGTAAAAAAATCCGGCAATGTGCGAAATGTCTAGATATTCTGCAATGGGGCGGGGTCGGTTGGTTTGGGTTGTTGAGTTTGGGTTGGTTTTAGTAATTCATACTGACATTTTATTAATTTTGTTGTTAATTGTATTTCAATCACTTAATTAAATTTTAATCAATGTTTATACAACTTGAAAGTTAGCTAAATAATTACATAATTATTATCAAGAGTTAACAAGCTGTTTTCCAACTGTTATACAACTGGGCCTTACTGTATCAATTTAATCTCAACTTATAAATCTAAAAATTTACCATCAGCGGGTATGGAAACACGCATGCGCACAAACCTGATGTACGTTTAATGCCAGTACTCCCGGTGTACTTCTAGTCACGGCGAAAATAAATACCTTTCTAAAAATGTTTTATTTTACCATATTTTGTTGTACCATTATATAAATAACAAGTGCTTGTAAATTTAATTTTTATTTGTAGTATTTCTTTTCTAAAAACAAAATTCAGTTTTTCAATTTACCATTTTTATCGTAAATTAGTATTGCGCATACTGCCTATAGTCCATTCCATTTAAGAAAAAAGCATTGAGTTGAATAGGATTTATTATAGACCAATCACGACGCTTAAAATTGTGGCTTTTTTACACAGGCGAAAATTTATAACCCATCTCTTTTTAATACGTTGGATGTTGTGTAACGTAGTTCTGATACACTTAATATTTTCTTATACAGCGTTGCCATGGCTTATAAAAACAAATTTACAAACTGACATAATAATATTATACAATAAACCAGCAAGAGTTCTTATAATATTTAAATTATAAAACTATATTATATTAGCTTTTGTCGTCAATTTGTCAAAAATATTTTAATTATAGAAAGAATTTATCTTTTCAAAAGGTTGGATTTATCGCACATTGGCAACGTAGCATTCAATTCAATGGCATCAGGTGTTATACAAAGTGTA